TGTGGCTTAAATAATTCAAGCCATTCGCCATTTCATAATGTGAAAATGAGTGGTGAGTCTTTTGAGAATTTGGGGGCAATCTTGGTCATGGAAAAAAATTAATTACCAGAGCAGATCTTCCATAGAATAAAACTTCTGTAGTCTGGAAACTTATGCCTGAAAGAACTTTCATTCATGAAAAGGATAACAGAATGCAAGGATTCAAGGCTCTCACAGCCAAGAAAACTATCTAATTTAGACCAGTTATACAGCTACAAATTGGAGACCTTTGTGTACAGTGAGGATCCCAGAGCCTTTAAGACTTTGGAGAAATACGTGTGGTCTGGGCATGGTGGCACTCATCTTTAATCCCAGTGTTCTGGCAGCTGAGGCAGAGTCACCTCTGTGAGTTCAAGCACATCCTGGTCTACATATCAAGCCCTAGCCCAGATGGGGATGCACAGTGAGACTCTGTCTCAAAAAGGAAGAAGCAAGTTGAGGGAAGGAAGAGAAACAACAAAAGAAGCAGAGGCATCAGCAGAAGATGACAGACAGCCATTATGAGGACATGGCTTGTGCACACAGGAGGAAGAGAAGTCATGGACCACATAGATCCCAATACAGGACATCCTTCTTAACTGTTCTGCTGCTAAGATGGAGTATGCTGTTTGGAAAACAGACTGATTTTCCAGATATGCATAGCCAATACCAGTGCTGCACGTCACCCTCTCAGTGGTCTGTATGCCAATATTGAAGTGGTGTTTTACCGTCCAAATACCACCCTTTATACCCAGTGTGCTGTTTGGTCTTGATAGAATATGTGAGTGGATTAACAAGAGTCTAAGAGTGACGAATCATATCTGTATCTGGGAGCATTTATATGTGGGATAGTGACTGAGGGGAGGGACACTTTCCCTGAATGTGGGCAGCACCATCCAGTGGGCTGAGAGCTGTAGAGAAGCCAGAGGAAGGCAGCGTGCTTGTGTATGCACATCTCTTTTCTTCTTGAATGAGTGTGTGTGACTGCTGCCATCATTGGCGGCCATCAGACCCTAGTAATGACTCCAGAGAGCTTCTAGGTCTTAAACCCTAGAGGACTCCTGGATGAGGTGTCTAGATTCTTTTGTTTTGGTTTTTTGTTTGTTTGTTTGTTTGTTTTTGAGACGGAGTTTCTCTGCAAAGTTTTGGTACCTGTCCTGGGTCTTGCTCTATAGATCAGGCTGGCCTTGACCTCTCAGAGATCCACCTGGCTCTGCCTCTCGAGTGCTAGCATTAAAGGTGTGCGCCACCACCGCCTGGCTGAGGTGTCTGGATTCTTGTAGTGAGTAGCTGTGGTATTTTCTGCCTCTCCAGCATGCAAGATGACCGAGTTTTCTGTGTGTGTGTGTGTGTGTGTGTGTGTGTGTGTGTGTGTGTGTGTGTGTGTGTGTTTGGTTATGGGGAAGACACCAAGAGGACACTGAAGTAGTTCTGGAAGGCTTAGCACAGCTGTGATTTCACCAGAATCCTTTCTTGGGATCTGGTACTGTCTCCAAGAAGTGTATGGTGCATTCAGGAAGGCCACCATAACTTCAGAGGACGCCAACTGGAAGCAGGTGCAAGACACCAGCACTCTGAGAAAGTTACCAATAGTTGTGCTCTTGGAATGGGCAAGAATGCCACTGGAGTCCCTGGAGGAGGGGCCTGAGGAGTTGGCATGAGGGGCTGATTGGCTGGGAAGGGGATTCATAGCTGAAGATGAGGCCAGAGCTAAGGCAACTGCAGAGGAAGGAGGAACACTGCAGTAGAATTCACAGTGAATCCTGAAACAGTAATAGATCTTAAGTAGATGCACAAAGCTCCCTAAAAGGTATGAGGACAGGAGCCCAGCCTGGGCAGCATTTCATTAACAGAAAGGAATGCCAACAGCACATGATTCGTTCACAAGCAAGTTTAACGATGACTGTGAAAAGAACCCAAGGGAACCCCCATGCATATCTCAGAAAAGAGGGATAGTCCTTTAAGAGTTACGGTAGGTCCTCAGGAGGGATCTAGAAGATGATGTCACCGGTAGTGAGAGGTCCATATGTACTATCATCCCTGCAGGTTTTCCCATGGTACAAGAGAACAAAAGGGAAGAAAATGGTATTAATAAGCCCAGCCTTGTAGACTAATGTGTTCTCTCTCTCTCTCTCTCTCTCTCTCTCTCTCTCTCTCTCTCTCTCTCTCTCTCTGTGTGTCTATTTGTCTCTGTCTCACTCTCTGTGTATTTCTCTGTCTGTCTGTCTCTTTGCCTGCCTGCCTGCCTGCCGGCACCCACCCTGTCTATCTCTCTCTGTCACACACACACACACGCACGCACGCACGCACGCACGCACGCACGCACGCACGCACGTGCGCTACCATGTATCCAAGGCTGGCCTTGAACTTGCTGTATATCTGAGGATAGCATTGAACTTCTGACCCTGTTGCTTCCACCTGTTGAGTGCTGGGATTCTTGGGGTGGTGTGTACCACCGTGCCCGGTTTTATATGGTGCTGGGAATCTGCTAGACAAGCACTCTACGCACTTAGTTGAGCTACATCAATAGTCCATGTGTCTTGATTTTTAATATAAGGAACTTAAAGAAAAAAAAGTAAAAACATAGAAAAATACTTATAAAATAATGATACCCAAATAAAGTATTTTTTCATAGCTGCACATTTGCATTTTATACAATATTTTTACAAAAGAATCACAGTTTTTTTATCATATTTTTTAATTTATTTTACAATACTATTCAGTTCTACATAATAGCCACAGATTCCCTTGTTCTCTCCCTTCCTGCCCCCCTCCCCTTCCCCCCAGCCCACCTCCCATTCCCACCTCCTCCAGATCAAGGTCTCCCCCGAGGACTGGGATCAACCTGATAGACTCAGTCCAGGCAGGTCCAGTCCCCTCCTCCCAGATTGAGCCAAGCGTCCCTGCATAAGTCCCAGGTTTCAAACAGCTAACTCATGCAATGAGCCCAGGACCTGGTCACACTGCCTAGATGCCTCCCAAACTGATCAAGCCAATCGAGTGTCTCACCTATTCAGAGGGCCTGATCCAGTTGGGCGCCCCTCAGCCTTTGGTTCATAGTTCATGTTTTTCCATTCATTTAGTTATTTGTCCCTGTGCTTTATCCAACCTTGGTTTCAACAATTCTCGCTCATATACACCCTCCTCTTTCTCACTAATTAGACTCCCAGCGCTCTACCAGGGGCCTAGCCGTGGATGTCTGCATCCAGATTCCTCAGTCCTTGGATGGGGTAAAGTATTTTTTCATAGCTGCACATTTGCATTTTATACAATATTTTTACAAAAGAATCACAGTTTTTTAAAAGTTTAAAAATTTATAAAATAAAAAGTTAGATTCAGGTAATACTATAATGTAATAAAGTATATTCACATCATGATTATAAGGTGGTGCTGTGTGCAGAGATGGCCCGGTTCCTCATCAACATTCCCACACACTCGTGGACAAACCCAGAGCTTATATAGACACATCATTTTTTATTTCTATATGCCATATTTACTGCATGTTTTCAGTATTTGGATATATTTAATGCCCCATATACTTAGCACAGTAGTAGAATTGCCTACAATGCTCAATATAATAATGCTCTCTATAGATTTTAGCTCAGGAGCTGCAAATTATAGTCTAGGCTGTACCATAAGCCTGAGTGTCTAGTAGGCTGGACCACCTAACTTTTTACAAGTATACACTGTGGTGTTCGCACAGTGGCAAAATAGCTTGATGACAGTTCTCAGGATGGGCTGCCAAGATTGAGTGATGCATGATTGTAATTAAAACTTAGTGACAAAGAAGTAAAATTCCAATGACAGTTTTGTCGACTTGTCAAGTTCAGACTTCTGAAGTTTAAGCTCAAACCGCTACTTGAAACTGTTTGGGACATGTTATATCGGGCTGTAGTTTAGTTTGTGGTTTGGGACATGTTATATCGGGCTGTAGTTTAGTTTGTTGTAAGTCAGGTTCTGTGCTCAACACTTTCTTAAAGTGAGGAAATAAATGGTTTTCCCTAATAGACTAAGAAATTTGCAATCCAGTGAAGAGCAAAGGTGAAGGAGACAGAAAAATTGCTCTCAAGCACACGGCGACCAGAGAGCAGGGAACAAGTGCCTCTCTGAAGAAACACAGTGTCACCAGAGGTGACATGAAGAGCACTGGGAGGAGGAGGTGGCAGTTCCCTCACTGCATGAGCTTCCCTGTGCTCTGAGAGGGAAGACGGAATCAACTGGACGCGTCTGAGGGGGCCTTCAAGTGTGGAGGCTAATGTCACTCAGGATGAACAGATTGAGAACTGTGTTTGCTTAATGCGAACAACAATGGAACCAACGCACTTAGTTTACTAGGGCAGGGTGTTCTGAAGGCTGCAAATCCAAAATTAAAGGGCCGCCAAAGACCTGTTCTCTCTGATACCAGTAGGGAAGGGAGCCCCCTTGCTGCTTCCAACTTCCGGTAGCCCCAGGTATCCCTTGGCTTGTGGCAACCTTACTTAGATCTCACACTTGTCTTTGCAAGGACTTCGTGTGTGTGTGTGTGTGTGTGTGTGTGTGTGTGCGCGCGCGCGCACGCGCGCGCGTCTGTCTGTCTGTCTGTCTGTCTCTGCGTCTCAGTTTTCCCTTCTTATAAAGACTACAGTCATAAAATGGCCCTGTTTTAACTTGGTTGCTTCTGCAAAAATCTTTGGTGTGGAATGGCTCCTTTTGAGGTCCTAGAGTTTAGACTTCAGCACACACTTCCTGTGGGACACAATACAGCCCATCACATTAGGAAAGAAAACACCAGACCCAATCATATTTTAAGGACTTTGTGTGCAAGTGTTGGTTTTTTTTTTTTTTTTTTGCTGTTTTGCTACAAATTACTGCAAAGTTAGTGTCTCAGAATAATACAAATGTATTCTGTTATAATTCTGAGGTCAGGAGTCAGAGTGGTTTAGTTGATAGAATAGCTGTGCTCTTTCCAGGGACTCCGGGAAGAATCTACTTCTGCCTCTTCCATCTTCTAGGAGTTTTTCACACTATCTGCGTCTTCATGATGTCCACCTGAGTACTCTAACATAACTACACCATCTCTTTAATTTAATCCCATCTTCAAATTTGGCAGGAAAGATGGAACATTTATAGACACCATGCCTCAGGACCTGGACAAGACAATTCAAAGGGACAATTGAGTCACAATGCAAGGTAGCCTAGAAATAATAGTATTGAAGGACTCCTGGATATTTGAATAAGATAAATTGTTTTGCTTATTATGAGCACAACATGATTATTTATAGAAATGTGAATACATACAAAAAGATTAAATAAATATTCACATTATAAATTCTCAGAGATAACCTAAATTATAAAATTTTGTCCTTGCAACAAACATATATATCAAACAATCAGAATCATATTAAATGGAGTTTCTCATCCTTTCTTATCATGTACCAATTCTTTCCACAAGTTGCCAGTTCGAAGACATCTATTTAATAGCTGCATGATGTTCAGTTGCGGGGACATATGATGATTTATTCAGCCATTTCCCAGCGTTTGGTCCTGGCGATGCTTCCTGATGGCTGTCACCAAGAAGTGTTCTCATATAAAAACCTGGAAAGCAGAACTTCTAAGACACAGAGTGTAGAAAAGTTTATCCATGCTTGAAGAGGGCAGCTATGTTGACAGAGATGGGATGGGGGAAGTGCCTGTGGGAAAATTGGGAGGGAGGACTTCAATAAAATAAGTGTGGGCATTGGTGTTCTGGAGATGCCATAAGAAACAAACAAACCAGATGGCTGGAAACGATGGTAACTCACCCAGTTCCCTGAGGGAAAGTGTCTGGAGGAGAAGCCATCTGACTCTTTCGCTGCCCCCTACAAAGCCTGGACATTTGCCTGGCATCTGTCCCTGTGTGGACTCTCTGCTTCTGCTGTTGCTGGTCTTTCTTTGAGTGTCTCTGCACATCCTCTCCTGTTCTTATGAGGACACCAGCCATTGCATGAGCCTCATACTATTCCATTGTGACTTCATCTTTACCAATTTTACCCACAAATACCTTTTTGCACATAAGATCACATTCAAGAGATCTAGGTATTTATGAATTTTAGACAGAGTTTTTTTTTTAACCCATCAAAAAGAATATGTGGAAAATGTGGGGGGGAAATACAGCTTAGAGATTTAGATGCATTGAGGAGATCTAGGGTGGGCTAACTGTGACATAGACAAAGGAATTGAGTCTGTATATTCCCATTAAATAATGCCCTATCTTTTGGCATCCATTCTTCAAGGGACTGTTCTTCTGGAGAGACATACCTGCTGAATCTCCTGAGTAATGGTGTCTGGAAACCAGACTGCAGAGGAGAAGGTCACCTTTAGGGGGGCCTCCAGCCAGCTGTGTAGGTACAGTTGCCAGGAATGTGGAGAAGGATGATTTTAGTGTTGGCTTTTCCATAGAGACAGATGGAGTCCTCCTCCACACTACTCAGTAACATTTTCTTATATCACTGGAAAATATTTCTAAAGCTTTCCATGGTAACAGTTCCAAAACATTTCTCCCCAAGTGTCCATAACAATAATTAATTTCATAGTCAAAGAATCAAACATCATGACTTAAGGTGTGTGTGTGTGGGGGGGGGGGATCTAATGATATGTGCCATGCCCTGAGCTCTTCCTGGTGGTGCATATACTTAAAAGAAGACAGAGATCCAGGCTAGCAAAAGGTCTCACACTTGTCTCTGACTGGAATTTCTGAGGACAAAGATTGAAAATGATTAGGGTGATTGGTTGAGGTTGATTGTCAGGTTCCCTGATCTTGTGTTTTCCTTGGCGGGTCGGAGCATGAATCGGACCAGGGTTCAGATCCCAAACCTGCTATTTGGTGACTCAGTCAAGTTACTTAATCAGTTTTCTCATCCATGGAGGCTACTTTGCAAGGGGTTAAAGAGAATGAAATGAGATGGTATACAGCCCAAGTTCATATATGATCATAGATATAAGCGGTAGTTAACAACACTGAGAATGGGGTAATCTTCAAGATTCTGGTTGTGTGACTGCAGGTCTTTCTGCTCTCTCTGTCTATCATAATGGTGTCTGGACTTCCCTGGAAGGCTTGCCCCTCCCTCACTGCCCTTGAGCTGGTGTCTGCAGTGAGCCACACACTCCAGTCAGTCAAGGAGGTGGATAATGCAGCTTGTTTACATGTCTGGAGCAGGTACACACAATTCCAACTTCCCGGCTGGCTTTCACAATTGTAGCTGCTGCCACCAAGATAAATGTGGAGCTCAGATGAGCACCAGCGGAACTCTTTTGCAGCAGGATTTATGGCTCATGCCACGTCTTCAATGTGCACAAGAGGGGCTACCACCGAGATAAATGTGAAGCTAGGATGAGCACAAGAGAAGCTGATTAACCTTGCCGATGATCACGCCCTTCTTGGACCTGTCTGCGCCTCTCCACAGACTTGTCAAGACTGGTCTCGTTGCTCCTCTAAACATCATTACCAACCTTTGATGGGCCACCTCACAACTTGTACAACGGTCTACACGTGCACCGAAAAGAAATGTCACACCCTGCACCCAGCACAGTAGCCTGTTTTTGCTTGGTAGATCAGAGGCCAGATGTGGCAATACAAGAACATGGGATACAAGGCAGGAGGCTCACAATTTCAAGGCCAGCCTGGGACATAGGAAGACCACGTGTGAAAAATCCGTGCACCCCCGCCCCCCAAAACAAAGAAAACAATCTAGTTAGGTACATCAAAACTTCCACTTGCAAAAATGCAATTAATTTTAAATTAAAAAAAAAATATTTAAGTGTGCTATTTTTTAAACAAGGTCAGTGGGAGATCTGGCTGAAATCCCCGGGCCCAGCTGTTCTGCACCTACACCAGAACCACTGAAGACTTCATCACATGAGAGACAGGCACAGGTGGCAATCACCCAGCCACGAGACAATGACAGATGCCTGATAACTTGCTGAAGTGTTCCAGTCTCCTAACACTTGCTAAGGAAGGCTACCTTCTAAGACTAGCCTCGGGCTACACACTCCAGGGAAGTTGTGGATAATTACATGGTAATCGTTTGTAATAAGTGCTCCTGCTCTCAGCGTGATTATATCCTTCCCTGGGTTGCTTGCCTCCTTATGCCTGGTTTATGTAGGGAAACAATGTCCAAATTAATCTCTGTCTTTTGTAAGTGAGTCTGTACTTCTCTGATGATCCAGATGGTTTAGTGTCCTTTGACAGCAGATGTTACAGCTTTTCCAGGAAAGGCATATTTTCAGCTTTCCATTGGCTGTGGGGGAAACTGGGAAACAAGATGTTGGGGTTTAAAGATGAATTATAGGATTAATATAGATCTGGCCGCTAGAGAGAATAGAGCTAGCTCTGGGCAAAACTGAGACAAATCACCACAGCAGTTTTTGCAGGTGGGTTTATGGTTCCTGCAACATGGTGGGATTATGGCTCCTGCAGGTCCTCAGGAGGTTCATCTCTGTGTACTGTCATTTCACCACAGCAAGGTGCACAGTGTGTTATTCTGAACCTGCTCAGATGCAGGTCAGTGTCTGATTAGGAACATGGCCTTAGGAGTAGGCTGATGGGGATCTGAATCCTAATGCCTGTCAGCTGCGTGACCTCTGCTGTGTTAATTAACCTCTCTAAACTTCAGCCTTCTGTATGGAAGAGGGACTACTGAAAGACTACTGCAGGCTGATCTGAGAATTTGATGAAATGCAAGCAGAGCCATTAATGTGACCCCTGACCTGTAGCAACCCAGTCACCCACTGATTTAGGAAAGGATATTCCCAAATGATAAGCAGAGGCGAAAGGAAGTACGTCTATAAAATAACACCCACAGTCACCTCTCTTCTCCTCCCTCAGATTTTATTTTTTTTCCTCCAGTGGAAATGTTGCTGTTGCACGTGCTCTCCTCACTGGTAAGGTATCATGCCTCTAATTAATTAGTTTCATTATACTGATAGCCACCGGTCTAAGAGCAAGGGTCCACCCGCCCCCAATGACTCATTAGGGCTTGAAATAACCTTAAGATTCACAAGACTGGAGCTGTAGCTCTGCGGTAGAGCACTTGCCTGATAAACACATGCTCAGAGTTTGATCCCCAGCACAGCAGACAAACAGAAACAAAGCAAAAGAATGCAATATCATCAAATAAAAAAATACAACTGAAATGAATCGAAACAGAGCAGCTATTAGCAAGAATGCTCCGAGTTTCAGAAAACAATGTATTAGGTTTTAGGCTTGGCAAGCTTGGGAAGAATTGCTCATACCTCCTACCTGTCTTATTCCTATACATATAAAGGACTCAGCCTTGATTTTGAGACAACCTGGAAGCTCCTGGCAGTTAGAAGAGGATACACTAGACTCCCAGGCCCCAGGTTTTTGGTTGTTTGTTGTTGTTATTGGTTTATTTGTTGATTTTGTTTTTTACTCTGTTCTCTGTGGCTACAGCCATTAAACTTTGTTTTCCTCATTTGTAAACAAATTGTCCATCCACTCTTAGTGCTGTCCTATCCCAGATTGCAGGGACCCAGCTGAACTGTCCATCCACTCTGACTACTGTCCAATCCCAGAGTGTAGGGACCCATCTGAACTGTCCATCCACTCTGGCTACTGTCCGACCCCAGATTGCAGGGACCCAGCTGAACTGCCCATCCACTATGACTACTGTCCAATGGCAGATTGTAGGGACCCAGCTGAACTGCCCATCCTTCCTTAGTGCTGTCTGGCCCTAGGGGCTAGGGACACAGCTGAACTGTCCATTCACCCTTGACTACATCTGACCCCAGAGGGTAGAGACACAGCTAAACTATCCATCTACCCTGACTACTGTCTGATGCCAGGTTGCAGGGACACAACTGAACTGCCCATCCACTCTTGATCCATTCTTCCTACAGTCTGACCACAGGGGGTAGGGACAAAACTGAACTGCCCATCCATCTTGACTACTGTCGGACCCCAGGGGGTAGGGATGACCAGGTGAGCTAAGGAGTGTGGGTACACTAGGAGGGGAGTTGTATAGTGCTCACCAGGAAACAGAGTGAGAGAGGAGGGTGCGGAAATATCCCTGGGAATACCTAAGCTGAATACGTTCCCTGTCACTCTACCCAGAGGTACAGCAACAAAAGAACAAAAGAAGTTGTCTGTTCTCTGAGGAGTGGCTCGGCAGCGATTTCTTAATTCTGACCTCCTTCACCGTGAGGTGGATGGAAGGTGTATCCATTGCCTTTACTGTTACTTTGATTAAACATATGACCAAGGCAACTTAAAGAAAAGAGAATTTATTTTAGTTTATGGTTCCAGAGGAGGGAACCATGGGAAACATGGTGGCTGGAGCAGGATGCTGAGAGATCAGATCTCACCCCCAAGCGTAAATCAGAGAGAGAATTGCAAGTGGGGCAAGGTTTGAAACTCTCCAAGACTGCCCCAGTGAAGCTCTTTCTCCAGCCAGGCTGCACCTCCCCATAGCCTCTTCAAACAGTGCCACCAGCCGGGGGCCAAGTGTCCAAAGGCCTGAGCTTAGGGGGAGCATTTTCATTTCCAACCACCACAGAAGGATTATAACTCAAGTCTCAATTCTTTTCAGTGTTGATTTCTGTTAGAAATTCTTCACAAGAAATAAAAGTTCAAACCAACACTGTCAGTCCTCATTATTCTTGGAATCTGCATTTGCATACTCACCATCGTGATTTGGATAGCAGGGACCTCCCTTGCCCAAATGTCCTGGAGCCCACATGCCTACCTTATACTCCCCCCAACCCAGGATTGGCGATGGCCATGCCCGCAGAGCTTGGAGGTACAGGGCAGGCTGTATAGGAAGTAGGACAGGCTGAAGTTGTTCTTCTCTACCTTGGCATGTTCTAGCACAGACCTTCAAGGTAATCTCAGAATATTAAATAAAAGCCTGGTTTCCCAGGCTAGTAAAAAGGTTTTTTT